TCATCATCATCATCAGCAGCATCAGCATCAGCATCAGCATCAGCATCAGCAGCATCAGCATCAGCATCAGCATCAGCATCATCATCATCATCATCATCATCATCATCATCATCATCACCATCATCATCATCATCATCATCCTCATCCACATCCTCATCCTCATCCTCATCCTCATCCTCATCCTCCTTCTTTTATCCTCCTCCTCCTCTTCCTCCTCCTCCCGTCTGGCCGCCAGGAGGCTCCGAGAGGGACACCCCGCTGCTCATCGCGGTCAAGTCCGGCGCCAGGCGCTCCGTGGCCTTGCTCCTGGAGGCCCGGGCGGACGTGAACGCTGGCGACGAGGACCTGGCGCTCAGATCGCGGGAACGTACTTAACTCTGAGATTTTGGCGATGCCTTCTTGTTTCACTCTGGGCGTGTTCTCGCCCGATGTCGGGCCCCAGCGAGCGCTCACAGACCGGTCCAGCTCGAAAAGGGACGCCGGAAGATTGTTGGGTCTGAGGCTCTGGGCGCGATTTGTTTTGCGATGTCGCATTTGTTTTGCAACGTCGGATCTCAGGGAGAATTCGAGTTCGCCGGCACTCGGGCCTGAGCTCGGGCTTGCCGACGCTCTTTGATCCTGCATCCTGAAAGTCGAGTTGTCCTGGGATGTTTGCAGCGGGAGCTCGCCGGAACGCGGGCCCGAACTCGGGCTTGCCGCCGCTTCCAGACGAGCGCGTCCTGCATCCGGACGACCCAGTTCTTGTTGTTGGATGTCTGCCGCGGGAGCTCGCGCCAAATTTTGAACTGGGCCTCGTCGTTTGCATGGTTGCCCCGTCAGTCAGAGCTCCGAATTATCAAGGGTAACTCGGGTCAGGGCTAATTCGGGTTCGTTTTTCGGGAATCCGAGCCCGAGTTACCCCAGGCCCGAGTTACCCCGGATAACTCGGGCGCCCAAGTCATGCCCGCCCGAGACCCCCGAGCCCGAGCCCCACGTCTCCCCCCCGGTCAGGCGGGGTGGGGGGGGGGGGGGCGCTCGGCGGCGCCCACGGGGGGGAGGCGCGGCGAGGGGGGTGCGGCCTGCCGAGAAGGCGGGGGGGCTGCCAACTGGGAGCAGTTCCCCGTCCCTATGACTGGTGGAGCGTTTTTCCGAAGGGCTTATGCGACCCGTCCTCCTCCTCCTCCTCCTCCTCCTCCTCCTCCTTCTCCTCCTCCTCCTCCTCCTCCTCCTCCTCCTCGGGTCGCATACGGCCCCGGGGGAAAAATCGTACAATGACTAGCATCGCCTCATCTCGATGCCGATCTCCAAGGTCCCCGCAAAGTTTTCGAGGGCGCAGCCCCAAGACTGGCATCGTCGTTTGGCTTGTGTCAGTCTTGGGGGCGGGGATAAGCTCGAGGCTGGTTAATCAGGGGGGGGCTCCCAGGGAGGCCTGGGCGGCTTCTCAGAAGCTGCTCGGAGGCGCGCGGCCTCGGTGCACCAGTTTACACGCCGGTCGTTGGAAGTGGGTCTATCTGGATTCCCAGATCCCGATCTACTTCAGGCGCCTTCCTGCTTCAAGGATCGGCATGCTTCTGCCGTGGTTCGCTCTTCCCTGGGAGGGCCTGGACGCAATCTTGGTTCAGCGGCCTTCCTACTTCAAGGCTCGACCCACCTCTGCCGGCCGACGGGTAGCTGTTTGTGGGAGCTTCGGCCCCAACCCGCGGCACCCACAGCGTGCGCAGTGCGGGTCGCAATCGCTGTCGCAGCCCCTGGTTCCAGCAGGCCGTCCTGCAAGGCTTCCTGGGAAGCTTTCCGAGGGGACGCTGTGCCCTTCTCACGAAGCTGCTTGTCTTGCAGGATATCCCCCCGCCTTCTTAGAAGCCCATGCCTTCGGTAGCAATTCATGGGAGCCTGGCGTACCCTGTTAAGTCAATCTCTAGCGTCGACTAGCGTCGATTAGCGTTTGGGAGTCGATGGGATACGCCGATTCATCGCCGGCTGGCGTCGCTTAGCGTCGATGTAGCGTCGACTAGCGTCGATCAGCGTCGATTCGCAAGAGCTGACAAGACGGTTTGCCGTTTGGGGGGCCTCCCTGAGACTTTCGGTCGCCACGGCTGGATCCACCTCGAAGCTCTGATTGGAGCGCACGCCAGGCACGCCAGGACAGGTCCAGTGGTCGATTTTCGACACCCAGACCCAGACTTCGCTGTAGCCTCACTTAATGAGAAAATCGCAACGGCAGCAGTTGACTGGTAGTATTCGGATCCTGTTCGGGGCACTGCAAGGTCTGGGCCGTCAGACCCGAATCAGGATGACAAGTCTGACCTGGGGCAGGGTCCAGGTCCCCGCTCGGATAAAATTATGACGGGAGCCTCGGGCCATACAGAAGGACTGACACCCGAAATGGTGCGCCATGTAAAGACGCATCCTGGATCGCTAAAGTTGCTTCCCGGTTTCGGGCCCCAGGAGCCCATCCCGAGCTCGAAGGACTGACGCCCGACATGGTGACTGGGACCCAAAACCTGCAGCTGCGGGCACCGTGGAAGAAGCACGACGGCCAGCTGTTTTATGCTCTCGGCCTCCAGGGGACGCGTCCCGGGCCCCCGGGGGCCCGGACAACATGAATCGCAGAATCGAAGGTTGCCCCAGGGTCGGCGACTACAAAGGTTATGGTTACGCTGGGGTGTGGTTTGCGATCGGCACCGTTGGGGCCTGGGGGGCACGACACTGTCCTCGTCGGGCCTCCTCGGGGCGCGGCGGAGAACTCTATCGATGTCCCCGCCCGCCCCCCAGGGGTGCCCCCCAAGTGTGCCGGCTGCAAACCACACCCTTTGCGAACCATACCCGTCGGAGCCGCCGACAGGGGAAGGGGTCGAGACCTCTGGGGCCCCACGCTGTGAGAACAACTCAAACAACGTCGGGGTCTTCAGAATCATGGCTGGGGGGCCAGACAGTGTGGTGATCAGGAGCTTGTTGATCAGGTGTCGCTCCGCTGGCTCTGGCCCACCACGCCTCGGCGCGACACGCTAGCCACTGTCCGGTGCCAGAGCGTCAACGCCTCGAGCGTTTCGAGGCCACACGGCCCGCGGAGCGGAGCGACACGTTGTTCACTCGCAGGGCACAGCCTGTCGCCGAGGCCGCCGCGGCGACATGCTGTACGAAAGTCCCGGACTGCATAGCAGAGTGAGGGGGCCCCCGCACGCGATGCGACCCACGCGCAAAACCCGCCACCCGACCCACCCGTGACCCACCCACGATCTACCTAGAACCCGGCTCACCCACGACCCGACCCACCCAGCGGTTGTCTGCGACACATTGCTTTGAGAACTTGAGTCTGGCGGCTGCGGCTGGCTGTTATGCACGGGATTTGGTGAGCACCATTGCGCGTTGGAGCCCAGCTGGGGGTCTGAGGTGGCCCAGCACTGCTTCCGGCCAGCAGGAAGGGGAGGCAGGTTCGAGAGGTTGGGCTCGAGCAGGTTCTTTCCCTTGCTCTGTCTCCAGGGGCCGATCTCGGGCCAGGGGGTGATCCACTGCCCCAGGTGGACCCCCGGATGGGTCTGGGGTCTGGGGGCCGATTCTGAGCGGATTTGCCTCCTCATCCCCTCCCTCTCCTCCTCCTCCTCCTCCTCCTCCTCCTCCTCCTCCTCCTCCTTGACCGACTGTCTCGGGGCCCAACCGGCTCAAGCCCCCCGGCCGCCCCCAAATTGCGCGCACCCTTCCGCGCGGCCCGCACCTCGGGTCGCGCGGAAGGGCGCGTGCTCGTAGCATGAGCTTGCCTCTTGCAGGTCGCCTTGTGCGGTGGTCCCGGTTCGCCCAGCGACCTTTTGATGCGCCATGTGGTTGTGCCACTGCTGTGCCTTGCGTGGGAAATGCCCTGCGCGGGACCCGCCGACGACACGCCCCGCGACCCACCCGCGCTGCTTCCGCCAACGCCGCGCAGCTCATGCGGCAGGCCGACCGGGCCACGTGCCTTTCAAAGGATCAGGTCGACGCCCGGCCTCGGGCGGCTGCACAAACTGCCCCTGGCGCCAACCTCGCAGAGCGGATGCCGTTCGCAGAAAACGATAGGGTGGGCCCGGAGTGTCCTGGAGAAATCGGCTCCGGATTTCGGGGTGAACTTTGCGCGGATTTTTTGTTGGCCAGGAAGGAAGTCCAACAGAAAATCCACGCGAAATTCACGTCGTTTTTCGCTCGCCGCTTCAGGCAAAAATCCACGCGGAAATCCATGCAGAAATCCGCTGCAGCGCGTCTGCGAGGCCGGTGCAATGAAACTGCTCTGGTCGGGATCCAGTGACGGGGTTCAATGCAGACTGGGGTCAGTCAGAGCGCCGGAGACTGCAGGATCCTGCAGAGCCAGGGGCGCGTTGCTGCATCCTGCAGGATCCTGCAGGGTTTTGCGAGGCCCGGCTGACCCGGGCTTGGATTGACCCGGGTCAGTAGGTCCCCGAGATCAGATCGGCGCCCGGCATTGGGCAGTTGCACTAGGGCTCTGAAGAGCGTCCGCGCGCGACCCAACCCACGCGACCCGCCTGCGACACGCCTGCTCGCATGTTCGCTGCTCCCGCAGGCCGCCTTTGGCGCTCCCTCCTCCCTCTGGTCCGCAGCCGCGGGGGGCTGCTCTCCGAGGCCCGCACGGACGTTTCGGGTCAGCGCTGGAATCCACCCGCAGGAGCGAAAGAAGGACGTACACGTACATGAATACAAGTTGGTTTCGAAAGTTCACATTGCGCGAATGTTCGTATCACGCGGCCAGTCTCGCGGGTCAAGGGGCCGTGTTCATGTACATAGTTGGGCGCGTACGTCTTTTGTGGCCACCACCAGGCTGCGCCTCCGGCGTCCCACCCACCCCCAGCGCGCTCTGCGCGCCAGAAACCAGTCACGCGCAGAGGGGGGTATAGGGGCAGGGGGAAAGGCTTCTTAGGAGCACCCCTGCTTCTTAGCAGGCGCGGACCTATATGTAAATGCAGGGCCGGCGCGCTCTAAGAAGAAGCCTCCTTCTAAGGAGCTTTCCCCCCTCCCCCTACCCCCTTGTGCGCGCCGCCAAAGAAGTTCGACTACACGCAAGAGTGGCCCTTCTCCAGAGTGACCTCTGGTGCGGGCTCACTGGGGTCCCCCGATCGCCGAGCGCGGTGCGGCGGTGGCGTCTTGCGCGCTTGCGTTTGGCCCCCCCGCGGCCCCCGTAAAAGCCGCGCACCAAAGATTTCTCTATATATCCCAGGGTCACTCTTCCCAGACCCCCGACGTCATGATTTTTTCATTGCGTCGACCCCCAGAGGTCTCGACCCATTCCGTTCCCCTGGACCGGTGCTTCATCCTGAGCCGTTTTTTGACGGTCTCGAGGGCTGGCACGGAACACCTCCGATCATGATTTGTTCATTGCCCGAGGGGGTCTGGGTTTTGGGTCAGCCAGAGGCCCTGGGGCCTTCGTGCGATCCAGCCCGAGAGGCGCCGCAGAGCGCTGGGGTCCAGAGCGAGAATGAGGAGGAGGAGGAGGAGGAGGAGGAGGAGGAGGAGGAGGAGGAGGAAGAGGAGGAGGAGGAGGAGGAGGAGGAGGAGGACAAGGAGGGAGGAGGAGGAGAGGAGGAGGAGGAGGGCGGAGCCAGGCGGTAGAGCGACAGCGGCCGCCGTTGGGCAGGCAGTGCTCCTCACGAGCGGACGGCGGCCGCAGCCGAACGAGCCGAGCACGAATGGCCCTTAAACTCGAGATGGCCCGCTCCGGCAGCCCTGAGCACGAGAGGCCTGCCTCCTCCCCCTCCTCTTCCACCCCCCCCCTCCTCCTTCTTTCCTCCCCTCCTCCTCCTCCTCCTCCTCCTCCTCCTCCTCCTCCTCCTCCTCCTCCCCCTCCTCCCCCTCCTCCTCGCTCCGGACCCCGGCGCTCTGCGGCGCCTCTCGGGCTGGATCGCGCGAGGGCCCCAGGGCCCCAGGGCATCTGGCTGACCCGAAACCCAGACCCCTCGGGCAAAGAAAAAAACATGACGGGAAGTTTTTTGCTATTCTCAGCCTCTGGGGGCCCTTACCAGCCCTCGAGACCGGAAAGGAACGATTCAGGATGAAAAACCGGTCCAGGGAAATGGGTCGAGACCTCCATGGGTCGAAGTAATGGGGTCCAGCGACAAGGGGGTGGTGCAAGAGATCTGGTGCAATAGACTTGTTTGGTTGCAAGAGATCTGGGGCGTGCAACACATTCCAGTGCGCAAATGTATTGGTGGGTTTCCGCGTGCAGCACGCTAGTTGCAACACAATGCAGCACCATTCTCTGGCGTAGTACGTTTGCAATACAATTCCCCAAACCTATTGCACCACCCCCTTTCAGCTGGACCCCCTTCTGGGTCAACCAAAAGGGTCCAGACTTGGGCGAAAAAACGGCGCGGTGCGCAGAACATGACGACGCCCGGATCTCAGGCGCAGTCGGCCCTCGCCCTCAGCCCTCGTCCTCGCACGCGTCGCCGCCGCTGCCGCCGTCGTCGCCGCCGCCCGGCAGGACGGGTGGACGCCGCTGTTCTGGTGCCACGACGCGCCCATGTTGCGGCAGCTGCTGGCCGCTCGCGCCGCCGTGAACGCTCGCGGCAGGGCTCGGACCACCCCGCTGATGCAGGCCGGCGTCACCGCCACCGCCGCCGCCGCCGTCGCCGCGACGAGGGGGGAGGAAGAGGAAGAGGAGGGGGGGGAGGAAAGTTGAGGATGATCAGGAGGAGCAGGAGGAGCAGCGGCAGCAGCAGCAAGAGCAGGAGAAGGACGAGGAGATTCGCTCGGAGGTTTGCACATGTGCACCAAGCGCATGCCACTGCGCTCCGCTTACCCCGACACTCGATGGTCGGGCTCAGACACGCCACGTGCCGAAACGACGAGGAGAAGGAGACAGTGCTGGCACGAAAATGAGGAGGAGAACCAGGAAAAGCATGAGAGGGAGAACGGCCCCCGAGGCCCAAAGAAACAAGCACCTGGACGCACTGGACGCCCAAATCAAAGAACACGCCCGTCTTATGTTTTGTTCGCGATGCCCAGAGACGCGCTCCCTCCTCAACATCGCCTCAGGGACCTGTCCCAGAGCGCGTTCTGACCATAATGCCTCCCTCGAAGACCGAAGTAGATGGCGAGAACATCGTGCTCCTCCCCACCCACGAACCTCTCCTGCGTCTCCCCCCCGAAAGGCGGCCCCAAGACCTCTCCTGGAGCGCGCTCTCCAGGATTTCGACGCGGGCGCAGCAGAAGAGGAAAAGAAGGAAGAGCGGGAGGAGGAGGACGAGGAGGACGAGGAGGAGGAGGAGGAGGAGGAGAAGGAGCACGAAGAGGAGGACGAGGAGGAGGAAGAGGATTGGCAATGTCTGGGTCTGCGCACAGGTCGCCTCCACAAGTAGCCTTGGCTGGCCTCATCTGGCCCTTCGGGTGGCCCGCGGCGGTCTCAACACTTCCTCCGACGTCTCCCAGCAGCGCCCCAAGGGCGCTCTGCACTCCAGGATCGGGCTGGGGTCGTGAGCGGACAACATCTCCGTTTGCACGGCTTCGTGGGCCAGGCCCGTGGGCCTCGACGCCGTGAATACGGGGGGGGATTTTGCACGGATGCCCCGCTTGGACAGTATCCATGCGACAAAGTATCCACGAGATCGTTCCTTGTTCTCCAGACCGCCAGGGCGTGGATGTGGATACGGTCGCCGCTCATGATCGGCTGCTGAGACCATCTCGGATTACGCTGGCGGCCTGTGGAGGCAAGCCCGGACTACCTCCAGTGGCTTGCTGGGCCCCAGAGGCTTGCTGAGAGGGGCCCCTCCTTCGCCTCCCCATCCTCAAACATCCGCCTACTCGTGGCGACTCGTATCCGTTACCATTTTGTCGCGTTGGCTCCCGGGCCATACATTGGTTCACAGAAGGCCGATCGGGAGATTCGCGCCACTTTCTTGAAACTAACCCGAGTTCCTGCTGCTTGAATGGGTCCCGACCCCCTGAGGGCCACGCAAACAACGGAGCATGTCGAAAACCTCGTCCAATACATGTCTTGTCAAGGATCGCAGGAAAGTGGGACCTTACACGACCCCAAAGAGTTGCAAGTGCGGGCCCAACAGTCACTGGAAGGGCGCACGTCGGGTCTCCCCGGGCATTCCCCCTTTCACGAAGCCCGATCTCCTCCTAAGACTGAGGTTGCGGTCTGTCTTGTCGGTGATGGCTGAAGCCATCGATGCCCCTTCTACCAGCATCCACTGGGGAGAGAGGGGGGAAGACACCCGAGAGGCAAAGAAGGCACGAATAACGACCGAAAGGCTGAGAAGACAGTCTGCAGGATGAGAGGTCGATGTCCTTCTCCTCATCCTCTTCCTCCTCCTCCTCTTCCTCCTCCTCCTCCTCCTCCTACACCTGGCCTCCTCCTCCTCCTCCTCCTCCTCTTCCTCCTCCTCCTCCTCCTTCTCTTCCTCCTCCTCGCCTCCTCCTACTTCTCCTCCTCCTCTTTCTCCTCCTCCTCCTCCTCCTCCTTCTCTTCCTCCTCCTCGCCTCCTCCTACTTCTCCTCCTCCTCTTTCTCCTCCTCCTCCTCCTCCTCCTCTCCTCCTCCTCCTCCTCCCCTCCTCACTCCCTCCCTCCCTTACCTCCCTCCCTCCCTCCTCCCTCCCTCCCTCCCTCCTCCCCTCCCTCCCTCCCTCCCTCCCTCCCTCCCCTCTCCTCCTTCTCCTCCTCCCCTCCTCCTCTGCTCCTATTCCTCCTCCTCCTCCTCCTCCTCCTCCTCCTCTCCTCCTCCTCCTCCTCCTCCTCCTCCTCCTCCTCCTCCTCCTCCTCCTCCTCCTCCCCCTTCTCGAGAGCCTCTCCGCCCAGAGCCCAGGCCGTGGCCCGCGGCCACGTACCGCTGGCCCGGGCGCTCCTGCAGCACTCAGCGGACGCGGAGGCCTCTCGGCGACCGCACGCCTGACGACGGCAACCACGCGGCGGCGACGGCGGCGTTCGCGGCGACGACGACGACGACGACGACGACGACGACGACGACGACGACGACGACGGCGGAGGCTTTGGCGGCGGGGGCGGCGAAGATGATTGCCGCGGCGGCGGCAACGGCGACAGCGGCTCCGGCGGCGACGTGGACGGTGACCGACGACGACCACGGCGACGGCGGCGGCGATGACCGCGACGACGCTGACGAGGACGTACGACGAGGGAGGAGTTCTGGGTCCTGGGGCGCCCTGACCAGTGCGGCTGGATCCGCCGCGAAGTCCCGGTTGGAACGCGCTCCCGGACAGGCTTCGAGGCCTGCTTCGAGGGCAGACGACGAGTGGACCAATTGCGACACCGGCAGCGGCCAACGACGACCACGACGCTGACAAGGGAGATGTTGAAGGTTTTGGCTTTTCTTGGGCCCTCTGGGGCGCCATCGTCGCCGCGCTTGGCCCGCGTCGAGATCCTGATCTGGACGCGCTCCGGGACAGGTCCTGCGGGCGATTTCTCCACGGGGTGACAGCGAAGACGAGTACGGCGACGGCGGCGGCGACAACGGCGACGGAGGCGGCGGCGACGGGGGCGGCGACGACGGCGACGGCCGCGGCGGCGGCGACGATGGCGGCGACGACGACGCCAACAGACGACCACCACCACGCTTCCTGCAAGTACCCGAGATCCCCAGAGGCCCCTGCCCCGACCTTCCAGAGTGTTCATAAAATAACCCTCCAGACCTATAGATCTACCTGGACTGCGTCAAACGGCGACAGGAACCAGGACGTCGACGTCCTGGTGCTATTTTGTAGCCCTCCCGGAAGGTCAGCGTGGAGAGGCCTCGAAGCTTCGGGGCGGTTTGGGGAACCTCCAGCGGGTCCTGCGGAGGCCCATGGAACGCTGCAAGGAGGTCGACACGCGCCGGGTTGGAGGGTTTCTCCGAAGGGCTTAGGCGACCCGTCCTCCTCCTCCTCCTCCTCCTCCTCCTCTGACCTCATCCTCCCTCTCCTCCTCCTCCTCCTCCTCCTCCTCCTCCTCCTCCTCCTCCTCCTCCTCCCTCCTCCTCCTCATCCTCCTCCTCCTCCCTCCTCCTCCTCTCCTCCTCCCTCCTCCTCCCCCTCCCCCTCCCCCTCCCCCTCCCCTTCCTCCAGGCGGCCAGGGCCCCGCAGGCTTGAGCAAGGAGCTGGCGCAGCTTGAGGAGGAGTGGAGCAACCTCTGGAGAGTGGAGCGTGACCATGCCGAGCTGCGGTGGCCGTCCGACCCCGGCGAACGGCCGCCACGGCCGACGGTGGAGGAGCTGCGTGCTTGCCTCCGCACCTTCAGGAAGGGCACCGCGGCGGGCTTCGAGGCAATGAAGCCGAGGCAGCTCCTCGAGCTCAGCGAGGTCGGCCTTGAGGCGCCCATCGACATCCTGATGGCGGTTGAGCAGGCGACAGAGTGGCCCCAGCTGCACACCAAGATCGTCTTCTTGGCCAAGGGGCTAGGAAGGGTGAGGCCCGTCATCCACGTGCTGGTCAGAGTGCAGACGAGGCTGCGCAAGTCGATCGCGGACGAGTGGGGGCGCAAAAGCGTCTACAGGCAGAGGCTGCGAGAGGGCGGTCTGGCAACAAGCGGTGGAGTGCGAGTGGGCCACAGCCAGAGGGAGGGAGGCAGGAGAACCCGCGTGTTGGGTGTCCGCGCTGGTGCTGGTTGACTTGCTCAAGGCGTATGAGCAGGTGCACTATGGTCACCTGGTCAGGGCGGCGGTGAGGACGGGCTTCCCGCTGTGGCAGCTCAAGTTGCAGGTCAGCCTGTGCAGGTCGCCGAGGTGGCTGGTGCTCGAGAGGCGGTGAGCAACCCCATCACCACAGAGCAGGCCGTGCTGCCAGGGAATGGGCTCGCCACGCTCGTGCTCAAGATGATGCTGCCCGGGCCCCTGGACAAGCTGCAGGCGGTGGCGCCCACATTCTCGCTGTCGGTAGTGGTGGCCGACATCATCCTCAATCGGGCCGGGGGCATGCAGCGCACAGTCACCGAGATTGCCACTGCGGCCAGGCGCCTCACGTCGTTCCTCGGCGAGGCGGAGCTGCACGTGGCCACCGAGAAGCCCAGAGCGCTCGCCAACCACCCAAAAGCGAGAAGGGAGCTGGAGCGAAGACTGAGGAAGCCTCTGGGCGTGCTAGCCACTGGACAGGAGCGCCACCTGGGCGTAGATTCCAGCGGAGGCAAGGCGAGGCAGTGGTTGAGGAGAGTGGGGATTGTCCAATTGGCCAAGGCAAGGAAGAAGGCGGCCAGGGGGATCGCGAAGACTGCGCTGCACCCGAGCATCGGGTACGGGACGGCCATCACGGGGTGCGCCATGGCCGAGCTCGACCGTGCCAGGTCCTGCACATTCGTGGCGGCACGCAGCACCACCGCGGGCAAGTCGAGGACTCTCGCGCTGATGTTGCAGCCTGGGCTCGCCCCAATCGTGGACGCCACGTGCAAGCCCGCGCAGATGCTCATCCGCGCGGTCTGGGAGGCCTGGGTGCCGCGCCACATGGTGGCTCTCTGCATGCAGGGCGCGCGGGCGGACCCGCGGGCCCACGCCCAGGGCCTTTGCAGCGCGACGGTGCTCTCGCAGCGCAGAATTGGGCGGGAGGCCGTCGCTGGAGGATGGACGACGGCTGCTGCATCGCGCCCTTCGACGTCTCCCCGTGGATCGTCATGAAGTTGGTGCAGCGCGCCATCGTGCGGCGGCAGTGGAGGCAGGTCAGCAAGGCGCCAGGCTGCGCCCACCTGGCGCGAGGCGGGTGCTCGAGCCGCCGATCAGGCTCATCACCTCGGGGTGCGCTACCAGCGCGGCGGATAGGCAGGAGGGCGCCGCGGCGGGGGCCGCGGCGAGGCTCACACTGCGCGAGAGGGCATACCTGCACTCGCTGGTGGTCAGCGGGCAGTGGCCCCAGGCGCGCAGGGAGGGGAAAGGGCTGGCCGCCAGCGCCGGCTGCTTGCTCTGAGGAAATAGAGGCACCCTGCTGCACAGGCATTGCGACTGCCCCAGTTGGCGCAGCGCGCTGGCACTCCCTGTAGAGCTTGAGGAGCTCAGGAGGCGCAGCCGCCAATCTGACGTCAAGCTGTCGCTCGAAAGGTGCCTGTGGCCCTCCGCGACTGGCCTGCGCAGGCCACAGGCCAGCGATCTCGCGCGCTGGCGAGGCGACCACGCAGGTGGCGTGCTTCCTGGAGGTGAGCTCTTCCTGGACGGCTCCGCGTTCGAGTCGGACTTCGACGGTTTCGCCTCGGTCGGTTGGGGCGTGGTCGCCCTCCAGCAGGACGCTGACTGCTACGGCGCCTCCATCGCTGGCCAGCTCGGGGGGCACTACGTCGACGTCGACGGGGGCGAGCTGATGGCGGTCACCAGGACGCTGCAGTTTGGCGTCGGAGACACCGCCCAGGTCGTGGACTCGAAGTACGTCTGCGACGGCTTCAACAGGGCGGGGCGTGAGGTCACCGACTCGTACGCGTACTCCTGGGCGCGCCTGTGGCGGCGGGCGCGGTTCCCCATGGGCGAGCGGGGCGGGCTTGGCCGCGCAGCGCAGGCGCGCCGGGCCCCAGCTCATCGCACCAGGAGGCAGGTCACTGAGGGCGCCATCACCTACCGCGACTGGCTGGGCAACAGGCGCGCGGACCAGGCCGCCAAGGCTGCGGCGTGCCAGGGCCGAGTGCCTGCAGAGGACCGGGGCGTCCTCATCTCGGAGCGCAGGCAGATGGAGCTGGAAGCCACGTGGCGCACGGCGGCGGGCGCGTGGCTGGACGGCCGCGACACCACCCACGGCAAAGAGCGGCAGCAGCGTGCTGCGCAGGCTCAGCGCAAGCCCGCCGCGCGGGTAGACCGCGCATGGCGAGGCCAGCCGGGGCAGCCCAGATGGCGCGAGGTGCGCGGGTGGGCGGAGCGCGTCGGAGAGCGCCCTCGCGACGTCGTCGACGACGCGAGACGGGCCAATGACGCGCTGAAGCAGCAGGGCCTCGCTTCCCGCGACCTGGTCGCGATGCGCCCCGTGGGCGATGAGCTGCTGGAACGGCGTCCCCCGCTGGTCGCCTGCGCCACATGCGGGTTCACGGGCGACGCGCGGGCGAGCAGCTTCAGCCAGGGGCGCCGGCCCCCGCCCTCGGACGCGGGCAGCGCTGTGATCAGCCGCCCGCAGCAGGGACTCGCGCCGAATATCGCGGGCTCGGCGGCGGTCACGGCGCAGCGGTTCGACGGCCATTCGCCAGGTGCCGTTGGAGATGCGGCCCGGGGGGGAAGGAGGCGATCAGGCCGAGGCCGAGCTGTGTGGCGCAGAGGAGGAGAGGGGGGGAAGTGCCGCCAGCGCGGCGCCCCTGGGGCTGTCGTCGCGGCCCGAGGGGCCTGCGGCGATGGCGGGGAGAGCGGGCAAGGCTACCTCAGTGGCAAGGAGGCCCTGGCGATGCAAGGATCAAACCTCGAGGCGGGGTCGAGGGGCAGGGGGGGCAGGACGAGCACTGCCCGCGCCTGCCAGCGGGGTCGGCGCGGGGCAGGGAGGGGGGGAGGGGGGGCGGGCACCGCCCGCGCCCCCGCGGCCCGCCCTAGCTCGCCACCCCGCCATCCCCATGGCGGAGGAGGTGCTCACCCGCACGCCGTCCTGGCGGAGCGAAGGGCAGAGGCGTTCACGCCGATGGCCAAGTTGGCGCTAGCCCGTGGAACGAGGACAAGGAGAGGGGGGGAAGTGCCGCCGGCGCGGCGCCCCCAGGGGCCTTCGCCGCGTCCGCCACCGTGGCCTGCGGCGAGGGCGAGGACAGCGGAGGCGGCGGCGCGGCTGCGCCGCGAGACGAGGACGAGGCGAGGGGGGGGAGTGCCGCCAGCCCGGCGCCCCCAGAGGCCGTCGCCGCGGCTACCGCGGCCTGCGGCGATGGCGAGGACAGCGGAGGTGGCGGCTGCAGCGGTGGTCGTCACCGAGAGCGCGGAGGGCGCAGCACCGAGGAGGCCCCGGCGAGGCAAGGAGCAAACTTCGAGACGGGCTCGAAGGGCAGGGGGGCAGGACGAGCACCGCCCGCGCCTGCCAGGGGGGATGGTGAGGGGCAGGGGGGGGGGGGGGGGCGGCCACCACCCGCGCCCCCGCGGCCCGCCCTAGCTCGCCACCCCCACCACCCCCGCGGCGAAGGAGGAGCTCACCCGTGCGCCGACATGGCGGAGCACAGGGCAGAGGAGGAGACGGAGGCGGCCTGGCTTGGGTCAGACCGCGAGGCGAAGGTGAAGGGGGGAAGGGCCGCCAGCGCGGCGCCCCCCAGGGGCCTTCGCCGCGGCCACCGTGGCCTGCAGCGGGGGCGAGGGCAGCGACGGAGGCAGAGGCGCTGCCTGGCCGCGCGAGGAGGTCGAGGCGAGGGCGGGGAGCGCCGCCAGCGCGGCGCCACCTGGGGCCACCACCGCGGCCACCGTGGCCTGCGGCGGAGGCGGCCCGCCCTCCCCGCGGAGGTCGCGCTCCCCCCCCCCGGTCGGCGGCCTGGTGGCGCGCGGGGCTGCAACGCGAGGAAGGGCAGGGCCGCCTGCGAGGCGCCTGCTGGGGCCGTCGCCGAGGCCACCGTGGCCTGCAGCGGTGGCGTACCACCGCCCCCACAGCTGAGGAGGTGCTCGCACACGCAACCGCCTGTCGGAGCGCGGAGCTGCAGTGGCGCGAGTGGAAGCGCAGCCGGTGCGGCGCCCCCAGGGGCTGCTGCCGCGGCCACCGTGGCTTGCGGAGGACGGAGAGTGCGGCGGAGGCGGCTGCGGCCGCTGGGGGCAGGACGCGCTCGGCAGCAAGGTCGCCTTCCTGCTGGTGGCCGGTGGCCTGCCGCGCGGGCACGGCGCGTGCGGGGAACGAGGATGGCGGGCCTGGGCGGCCCAGCAACCCTCCCCGCCCCGCTGGATCCGCCTCGGTTTCTTGTCTTGGGGGCCCTGGGGCGGTCCCCGTCCGTCTTCCTGGGGTGCCGGGGCCGCCTGGCCCTCGGGCTTGAGCGGCTGGGCTCCACGCGCGGACACTACACGTAGTGTCTGCGTTTGCGTCCCGCGGTTTCGGGGCCCTCGTCGCCTGTCCCTCGGGGCGGTGGCGCGGGCGGGAGCGGGAGCGGCTCGACGCGCCCCCTCCGACTCGCGGCCATCACCCTCACCCTCCTCCTCCTCCTCCTCCTCTTTTTCCTCCTTCTCCCCCTCCACCTCCACCTCCTTCTCCTCCTGGGGTCGCATGCGGCCCCGGGGGAAACCGTCCACCCCGGACCTCGAGTTTCGGAGGGCGGCGGTGGAGACGGTGACGGCCTCCCCCTCGGGTGGGCACCCCTCTGGCTTTTTTTGCAGGTCGCGGAGGCCAGGCAAAAAAAAACCCTCGGGCGTGGGGGCCGCCGCCTCTCTGGCAGCAACGAGAGGAGGAGGAGAAGGGGAGGAGGAGGAGGAGGAGGAGGAGGAGGAGGAGGAGGAGGAGGAGGAGGAGGAGGGGGTAGCGAGGTAGCGACGTAGCGACGTAGCGAGGTAGCGAGGTAGCGAGGTAGCGAGGTCGAGGTCCGTTGAGACCGACACGGGCACATGCCCTGTGGAGGCTAAGCAACGCTGATCTTTGCTATCAAAACATCGGCACCCCACAACTAGGGGTCGCCAGTGATGGTACCTACGTGAAGGAGCAGGGGGAGTAGCAGGAAAGGGAGGAGGAAGAAGACGCGGAGGAAGAAGAGAGGATGAGGAGTAGCAGGAAGACAGGGGAGAAGCAGGGAGCGATACGGAAGAACAAAAGGCGAGGAGGAACATGAACCGAGGAGGTGGGAGAGGAGGATGACGAGGCTAAGGACGACGAGGAAGAGGCGGAGGAGGAGGAGGAGGAGGAGGAGGAGGAAGAGGGGGCGCATGACGACGCCCTCCATCCGTGTCACTGCTGGGAAGTTCAGGAGCCTCAAGATGGCAAACGGTCAAGAGGTCTCAGGAGAAACGCCCAGCCCGCCCTGACGACTCGTCGGGTGTTGTGATAGGGAAGAGTTGTTCCTAACGAGAAGGGATGGAGAAGGAGGAGGAGTCTTTTCTGAGGTTCCTGTTGCTCTCTGCGCTCCCAATCGACAGACATGCGTAACCGAGTAAGCAAGCAAGTTGACGTGCCAATCTTAAGCTCCAGTCCCCACCGTTTTTGGGCTAAATGGCAACCTCCCTCCCAGACGCTACGATCCCAGTCGATACAAGTTTGCCCTACGTCAAAACGAGGAGCCTCCCTCCCGACTTCCAGCAGGAGCGTTCCTCGCTCAACCGAGACGCCCTCCCCCCCACGAGAAGAGGCGCGGGACGACGACGGCGGCTCGCTGCTGTCGCACGCCCGCACCCCGCGGGCCATGGCCGGCTTGCTGGCGGCCGGACTGCGGCTGGACGAGGCCTCCGCGGAGGCGCGCGATCCTTGTTTTTGGTTCATGAATTGCGTGCATAACTAAAAAATATACATGCATGCATACATACATACGTACGTACACACGCACACATACATGCATGCATGCATGCATGCATGCATGCATGCATACATACATACATACATACATACATACATACATGCATGCATACATACATACGTCCGTACATACATACAGACATGCATACATACATACATACATACATACATGCATACATACATACATACATACATACATACATACATACATACATACATACATACATATGTACACACCTACATGCACACATGTATTGACACATGCATACATGCAGACATGCATACGTATTTGCACGCATGCATGCATATGTGTTTAAACATATCCGTGTATATAGAACCGGATGGCATATACGTATACGCATGTTTCTATGTATGTTATAGACACGTGCGGTGCATATGGCACACCGATGTAAGAAATGCTGGTGCTGGCTCAAATGTCGATCGAAGAACATCACATTCGTGATGCCGTGGCCGGTGTAGTAAGGGAGCGCGCCGATTTCGGCCCGATCCCGAGCCTCGGAGGGGCCCCCACAGCCATCGTGCTCCCCGCTCTCGCCTCCGCGAACAGCGCCGACGTCGACACACTAGCCCGACGCATACAGTCAGACCGCATGGTAAGGATGAGCGGTTTTCCAAAGTTTCCCTTGCATCCTTGCCCCGCTCGGCCCATCCTTGGCCGCTTTCACTGGCCGACCTCGTTCGAAAAGTGTCGGCATGGCCTTCTAAGGCCCTTGCATCCTGACCGTGCGTCCTTATTATACGGGTTTGTTGTGCACACAGGTATGTGTTTATGTGAATGCAAATGCATACCTGTTATATCTATATACATATGTATATATATATATATACACATATGTATGTGTATACCCAATCTGTAGTGGACCCACAAACAGCCAGAGTGGACCCCCAATTAGTGTGGCAAGGGAGGCGTTGCAATGTGCGTGGAGACATGTCAGTGGTGCAATATCTGTTTACAACCGATGTTGTGCAGTCAAAGGTGTGCAATCTGTGCTGTGCAATATATGGTACGTGATAGATGTGGTGCGATCTATGTTGGACCATCTATGTGGAGCAACCTAGGCCGTGCAATACATGTTACGATATCAACGGAATAGATGTTGTGCAGTCTATGTTGTGTGTTACTCATGTGGTGCGACCTATGATGTACAAGATATGTGGCGCGATCTAGGTGATGCAGTCGATGTGAAGCAGCCAGCGTGCAAAATGTATGTTGTGAACCCTGCGCTGCGCAGTATGTGGTGTGCAGTCTAGGTTGTGCAATAGTGGCCGTATACACGCATGTGTATGTTCATACGAGAGGGGTGGGTGCGCCGATCGCCGTCCTGCTACACGCAGCCTCTTGTGGCTCAAGTTTGGTGGGGATTCGGGCGGTCCCCGCGCCGTCAGCTGAGCCCCGCCAGCCCCCGCGCCCAGGGTGCATCTGGGCGCCCTGCGAAGGTAACGCGCGCGGGGTCGGGCGGCACCAGGCGGTGCCCGACCTAGATCGCGCCGCGGGAGGGGAGGCCGCCGAGGGCGCCTCCCTCCCCTCCCCGCGGCGGCGGCACGCGCGCGGGGGCGGGGGCGGCGGAGGCGACGGTGGCGGCGAGTTGCTGGGCCCCGCCCTCGCCGCAACGGCGTGCGGGGCCCATGGCCGAGGTCGTGGACGACGGGGACGACGTCGAGGAGCTGGCCGACGTCCCCGCCCCGGGCCCGCGGGCCCGCCTTGCGGCGGCTGCAGGCGCCGACCAGCTTCCAGTGGAGGATGGGGAGCTGGTCTCGCCGGCGGACGAAAAGCTGTAGGCGTCCGTCGGTTACAGCAACGCCCTGGAGGTGCAGTGCCAGTCCGTGTGGCTGTGCCAACGGTACTCGCGCTGCGGCAGGTTCGCACGCGTGAGGCTGCTCTGGAGCGACGACAGCTACGGGGACTGTTGGTCGCAGTGTGCGGGCGAGCGCGGCGCGATCTCGCTCAGGCTCCTCTTGCACATCAGCGAGGGCCCCGTGCCGCTGTGCGAGGCCGAGCTGCCGCCGAACTGCACGGAGCTGGTTCACACCTCGGAAGTGGCGCGGCTGACGGTCGAGGCAGCGGCGGAGCTCTGGCTGCAGCATCGGGTCACCAACCCAGGTGCGGCGTAGCCGCAGGACCTGCTGGGGCCGCCGCCCGGGGCCGCCCGGCCTGCCGAGGCGCCCGCCGCGGGCGCCCACCCGTTCGAGGACCTCTTCGGCGAGCTGGACGAGGAGACCTCCGCGCCAAGTGGGGTGGCCACCCTGCGCTCGCGGCTGATGGAGTCGAAGGACCGCTTCGCAGCGCTGCGGGACCGCGACAAGGGTGCCACTTCCCCCGCCGAGGGCGCGGCGCAGGCTGCACCTGCGGTCGAGGCTGGGCCCAAGGTCAAGCGGCCGCTGGCGGAGGTGCTCTCGGAGCGCGCCGCGACGGTTGCTCGCGGGGGGCCGAAGCTGCTGGCAGCGCCTCCCCCGTCCGACGGAGGCTCGCGCGGGGCGCGCGATCGGGGGCCGACCGAAGACGCGGCGGCCACGGCGGGCGCCTCCCGCGCGGCGCAGGACATTGCGAGCGCCCTCGCGCGGCTGCTGGACGGGCGCCAGGGCAGCAGCGAGGAGATGGGCCTGGAGGGAGTCGCGGGCGCGGACGGATCTCTGATCCCGCGCGGGTTGATGTCCAGGCGGGCTCACTGCCGCAGGGTGGCCATCGAGCTGCCTGCTCGCCTCGCCGCGGCGAGCTTAGCCCGGATGGCGGACTTCCTCGGCGCACAGGAGGGGGAGAGCGCCGTCGACCCGCAGGGCGCGATCGTGCTGCGGCGGCTCCTCACGGTGTACCTCCCGCAGCACCCCGCGCGGGAGATCGGCGCGCCCGCGTGCCGCGAGTTGCGGGCGCTCGCCGAGGCGCTCGACCTCTTGGTGCAGGGGCGCGGCTGCGGTGGCGGACCTGCTCGCGCAGCGGTTCAAGGCGCTCCAGGTCGCGCTCCACGACGGGAACTGGTCGGGGGCGAAGCGGCTGGAGATCGCCCCGCCGCGCGACGAGCCCACCGCGCTGCGGGGCAAGGAGGAGGAGCTGATCAGGGGCATCCAGGCGGGCGAGCTCAAGTTGGACGAGCCGACCGCCAAGCTGCGCAAGCCGCGGGCTAAGGATCTGGCCGGGGCGAGGGGGATTCGCAGCTCCCGCCTCGCCCTGCAGGCCCCGCGAGGGGGGGGGGGCCCGCGAAGGCTGCCCCGCCGCCGCGGCCTCCAGCGGCGCTGGGAGACGAGCTGGCCGAGGCGAAGGGTTCGGGGGGCCCTCGCGCCGCGCTGGCGGGAAAGGGGGGCTACGCGGGCGCGTGGGCCGACGCGCGCGCTGCGACCCCGAAGAAGAAGGGCGAGTCGACCAGGGGGTACCGGGCTCGCCTTGCGAGCGTCGTGGCCGAGCTGAAGAAGAAGGGCCCCCCAGCCCAGACGGTGGCCCGCGCCCCCTGGGCGGCGAAGCGCCGAGCGTCGCCCCGCCCGAGCTGTCGTTGTCGGGCGCGGCCCAGACTTTCCCCCGCCCGCGGCGAAAGCGGCGAAGGTGCAACGGCGCCAACCGCCGCCAGCGGGGGACAGCATCATGGCGCGGGGGCGGGCGGCGCGCTGCCGCCGCTGGAGCTGGGCGCTGACCTGGCCGAGACGGTCGCGCCGCGGGCCAACGCCGCCGGGGCTGAGGCGGCGCTGCTGGAGTCGCTGCCGCTGAGCGAGGTGTCGGAGAGCATGGCGGCGCGGCGCAGGAGGTCGCCCGCCGAGTTTGGTCGGCTCACGCGGCGGGTCGACCTGACAGTCAAGCTCGCGAGGTTCGCGCAGCTGCATCCTGGCACCCTGGGTCGCCTCGCAGGGCAGGCGCTCCCATTCGAGAGGAGTGGCGCGAAGGCCCGAGTCCGGGACCCGCTGCCGCTGCCTCTCCCGCCCCTCGAGGGGGTCGCGCGGTGGGCCCAGGCTGCGGTGCCGCCTCGCACCCGTGGCATGGGCGGTCGCAGCTGATGCGTGGACCTGCATGAGTGTGCTGGGCTCCAACCACATGTACTGCGGGGTCGCCTGGGAGTCGCCCCGACTCGGAGCGACGCCGACGCTGGCGCAGGAGACGGCCACGCGGCACATTCGCCCGCGGGCGGCGGAGTTTGCCCAGCAGCCTTTTCGAGACCGTGGCCGTCGCTTCTTTGGGCGACGCGGTCGCGACCTCGTCAGTGGACTACAGCGGGGAGCCCATGACGCGCGCTCGCGGAGCTGCCCCCTGGCCTGCCGAAGAGGGAGCGCGCGGCGACCCTGTGCGCGATCGACTTCGTTGACGACGAGGTGGCGCGTTGGGTGGCCGACCCCGCGCTGGCGCTCAAGGCGGAGGCGGACTTCCCCGACCCCCTCCCGAAGGCGCGGGTCAACGTCGGCTCGGAGTTCGAGTGGGAGGCCCTGACGATGCAGGTGGACCTCGGGATCTTCACCGTGCTCCCCGCCGAGGAGCTGGTCCGCGTCCGCGGGCCAGTCGCGCCACGAGGCCCACCCTGAACATGGCGCCTCGCAACGCGCTCATCGAGCCCCTTCACAAGGGGAGGCGGCCATGCTGGATCCACGAGCTGGGCGTCGCTGCGCATCCCCGAGGGGAAGCTGTTCCTTTGGTCGGGCGACGACCAGAAGGGGGCCTTCTTCGCGTGGCGCGCGCCCCGTGCATGGCACCGCCACACGGCGGCGGGGCGGCCACTGGCGGGCTCGCTCTTCGGACGGCAGGAGCCTGAGGTGCACCTCGCGTCGGCGGTGATCGCGATGGGCTGGTCTCTGGCGGCCGCAGTGTACCGGCACATCCACAGGCGGCTGCGCCGCTTGCCACCGCCGCCGGGCGCGGGGCTGCCCCCGCAGGCGGAGCGGCGCAAGGATGCGCCGCGGCCCGTCGCCGCCGCTGCAGAGGAAGGAGACTCAGCGCGGTGGCAGATCTACACCGACGACTTCGACGCGCCCGAGATCGTGGAGGAGGTGCGCGCCAGACGCCGAATATGCTCGCTGGCGGAGATGCAGGTCAGAGCGCGAGCCAGCTATGACAGGGCTGGCGTCGCCTACTCGGCGGAGAAAGCTCACTGCAGGCAGCTTCGGGTCGAGCGCATGGGGGTCGACGTCGACGGCGAGCCCGGCCGCCTGGCCGCGCCCTTGGCCAAGTCGCTCGAGGCGATCGCGCTGTGCCTGGCCTCCTTCAGGCTCGAGGCCGTGCCGTGGCGGCTCACGATGACGATATTCGGGCGCTTCGCTCGGCTCTTCGAGTTCCGAAGGCCCCTCCTCAGCGTGCTCAACGAGGTCTGGAGGTTGAGCTCGCAGCGCGGCAACGCGAGGTTCTCGGCGGCGATGGTCGGGGAGCTGCTGACCGCCATGCTGGTGATGACGATGGCCGCGACCTCGCTGCGAGCCAAGATCGAGGGCATGGCCGCGGTCTCGGACGCGTCTGAGTTCGGCGGGGGCGCGCGCGCGCCGATGGGCCTCCGAGCCGAGGTGGAGGCCAGCCTCGGCAGCGCTCCGACGCTGGACGAGCAGATGCACTTGGGGGCTCGCCTGCTGCAGCTGCCCGCCGAGCCCACGGAGCCCTGGACGGTCACCAACCCCCCCATCTCGTCGGCCTGGTCGACGGCATTGGGGGCTTCGACGACATTGGGGGCTCGGCCGTGGCCTTCTCGCGATTGCCCGTGCGGGCCATGGGCAACGTCGCGGCGGAGACGGACGCCAAGGCGCGCAGGGTGGTGCGCTTGCGCTGGCCAGGCGCGAACGACTGGGGCGACGCGACGCGCGTGACGGCCACTGTCGTGAACGAGTTGCGGGGCGCCTATTGCGACGAGGTCGACCTCTCCGCGGCGGCCGCGGGCAGCCCCTGCCAGGACCTGGCCAGGCTGAACGCGTCGGGCGCGGGCTTGCGCGGCGCGAAGCCTGGCTTGTTCTACGAGGCCCCCCTCTTTCTGGAGCTCCTCAAGGCGGCGCTCGGTCACATGCTGAAGTGGTTCGTCGAGAACGTCGCGAGCACGACGGCGGACAACTGGGCTGAGATCAGCAGAGCCCGGGCCTTCCTCGCGTGCTCGTCCGTCCTCGTGCCCTGCCAACGTCCAAGCCTGCGCTGGATGAGCTGGGGGCCGCACGTCGCTGCCCCGCTCGCCGTGGTCGCGAGGGGCGGGTTCCGCGAGGTTCGCGCGCCGAGGGGGCCCCTCTGCGAGTTGGCCTGGCAGGACGAGGGAGCCCGCTGGCTGGGTGCTCCAGGCCTGTTCCCAACGCTAGCATGCTGCAGGCCGCTGCCGAAATTGCCCTCGGCCCCGAGGGGGCCATGGCAGGCCTCGGCGGCGGCGCGCGCTCGGTGGGAGGCGGACTCGTTCGGATATCACGCTGCCTTGCACGAGAGAAACTTGCTGCTGGACGGCGCTGCGGGCTCCGTTCCTCGCCCCCCCCCCCCCCCCCCCATCCACTTCGGATAGGGAGAAGATGCTCGGCTTCGATGTGAACTACGCGTCCGTGGCCACGAAGGGCTCGAACGAGCGCGACTGCAGCGACGCACGGGCTTTCCTCCTGGGCAACAGCTTCAGCGCCCACGCCGTCGCATGGCATGGCTGGCGCAGGCGGCGCCGCTGGAGGCGAAGGCGCTGAGCAGGCCACTGGAGGTGCAGGAGCTGGCACACTTTGACTGGCACCGACCGTCGCGAGACGCCATCGGACGGCACGAGAGCGAGCCGGGGGGCCCAGACACCTTGGCCTTGCGACGGTCGGTGCTGCACTACCTGGCCCGAGCGGAGAAGGGCGGGACCGACGTGCGCCCGGACTGCGGCCTCCCCTACAGGCCGCGCGGGCGGCCGCGGTCAAGCCTCGAAGGGATCGCGCGGCGGCGGCGCGCGGCGTTGAGCATGGCGCGGCCCGCAGCCAAGAGCGCCCACGTAAACGTCCGAGAGCTGCAGGCGGCGGCGGCGGCGCTGCGGTGGCGCGCCCGCAAGGCGAGTCGGCATGGCAGCAGGTGGCCCCACCTCTTCGACAGCCGGGTCGGCGCGGCGATCGTGACGAAGGGCAGGAGCAGCAGCCGCCGCCTCCAGCCCGCGCTGGCCAGGTGGGCCGCGGTCGCGGCGGCCGCCGACATGCACCCAGTCGTTGGCTACGTCGTGTCAGAGGACAACCCCGCCGACGAACCATCGAGGAGGTTGCGGCGTGGTTCGCGGCTCAGGACCGCCGCGCCCAGGCCGCCCAAGCTGCTGCCCCCGCGCCGCGGGGCCCCCCCGCCGCGCATGCTCGGCTGAGGCCGGGCGCCCTGCGGGCCCAGTCGTTGTTCCTGCTCCGCGTGGACGCCGCGACGAGGCATCGGCACTCTGCCGCGGTCGACCGCCTGCTGGAGCACTACGGCGTCGCAGGGGGCGGCGTCGAGGCGCTGGGCCAGGAGGGCGAGGGCGCCGACGCGCTCGTCTCAGAGTACCTGGAGGTCCTCTGGGCCTCGGGCGCGGGCATCGCGGCGGCGAACAACGCGGTGGCGGGCGCGCGCTTCTTCAGCCCGCGTCTTCGGCGCCGGTTGGATCTGAGCTGGGCGCTGCTGAAGACATGGCGGAAGAGGGAGCCCGCGGCACGCGTGCTCCCCTTCACGCCCGAGATCGCCGGGGCCATGGCTGCCTAGCGCTGGAGGCAGGCTGCGTCGACGTCGCGTGCCTCCTGACGGTTGCTTTCGAGGGCCTGCTGCGCGGCGGCGAAGCCTTCGCGCTGTGCAGAGGCGACGTGGCCTTCCGCGGCCAGTGCGCCGTCCTCCGCATCGCCTCGTCCAAGGCCTCAGCGGGGCGCGACGCTGCGGAGGCGGTCGTCATCAGGGCGCCGATCGCCCTCCAGCTGCTGCGGCTCGTCACGGACGGCCTGGACGAGGGGGACAGGCTCAGCGCTCGGTCGCCACGCCAGTTGCGGGCGGCCCTCGCAGCGCTGCAGGAGGAGGCAGGAGCGAGGCAGGAGGAAGGAGGCGGAGAGGGGAGGGGGGCAGGAGGGAGGCAGTAGAGAGGAGAATCCGCGCCGCCAGGCCTCCGACGTCGTTTTGTTCTCCACCCGACAGGTTGGGTTTGTCAGATTCTAACAGCAGGCCCCTGGCCCGACCACCATACATACCGCGACCGCCAGACCTCTGGGTCCACCGGGAATCCGCGGCGGTCCCGCCCCCCGCGCCGTCGACGAGCATGACAGAATTGAGCAGGAAAAGAAACTGGTCGGATCATAACATACAGAGCAGAGCATGCCCAAACAGACCATACCAGAACAGAACTGGGTTGTTCTCCTCCCGACAGGTTTGGGTTGTCAGATCCCCCACGTCTGTCTAAGCGCGGGCCCTCATGCCTGCGAAGATTCTGGAAGGAACCCGTCACGTTTGCGAGGCAATGATTTTTTGGAGGGAGAGAATGAGGAGGAGGAGGAGGAGGAGGAGGAGGAGGAGGAGGAGGAGGAGGAGGAGGAGCAGGAGCAGGAGGAGGAGGAGGACGGAGAGGAGGAGGAGGAGGAGGAGGAGGAGGAGGAGGGAGAGAAGGAGGAGGAGGAGGAGGAGGAGGAGGAGGAGGAGGAGGAGGAGGAGTGGGACAAGGACGAGGAGGATCAGGAGGAGGAGGAGAAGGAGGAGGACGACGAGGACAAGGACGGGGAGGAGGGGCGGAGGAACTGGAGGAGGAAGACCGCTGTAAACCTTCCCTCCAAGCTCCCTCTTCATAGGCCCCTACAACGGATCATTGGATTATTTCCACTGAAGGATTTGCTTCGCTGAAGACCCTGAAGACATGCCGAAACATTGTTGGAAGAAGAACCCTGAAGCATGCCAAAACATTATTCTCGTGAGTCCGACGCCACGGAGCAACTCTTTTGTTGCGTCTTGACGATCCTGAATCGTGCCAGAACGCCGTTCCTGGGACTTCAACTCCGCGAATCAACGTAACTGTTGCGCCCTCATAACCCTGAATCCGTCCAAAACATAGTTTTTGGCACGCTGAACATGGGAACCCGTGAAACTCTTGCTACGTTTCAAAACGAAGATGCGCGGCGCTAAGGCGAGAGCCACATGTTGAACGGGAACGGCCCTCAATCCGTGAAGTTCTTTCATATTTGAAAAACGAAAGCACGCGGCGCTACGACGAAAACCATATTTTGAAAACAGGTCGCCCTCAATCCGGCGCCAAGGCGAGAGCCACATGTTGAAAACTACCCGCCCTCAATATGTGCAACTGTTGCCATTGCGTAAGCTTTAGGGTCATACATTGTGGGGAAGTCTCAGGCGAAACTCCCGGCCCGCCCTAAAAACTGGGCTCGGGGTGCGACAGGGAGAAGTCATTTGTAAGAAAAGGAATGGAGGCGGACAGGGGGAGGTGCGAGAGGAGGAGGAGGAGGAGGAGGAGGAGGAGGAGGAGGAGGAGGAGGAGGAGGGGGAGGGGGGAGGGGGAGGTCGCTCCGCTCCCAAGGCCGAGTGGGCGGGGAGGCGTCGGCCTCAACACCCACGAGGAGGAGGACGCGGAGGAGGAGGAGGGCGAATAGGGGGACGGCGCCAAAGGTTTCGGTGGCGATCGCTCGAATCAAAATGTTTCTCCCTGCGTGCCCCCGCCCCCCCTGGACGTCTCGACCCCTTCCCGTGGGCCAGCTTTCCATACCGGATTGTCTTCCGACGGCCTCGGTCCGGCAGTGCGCACGAGAGTGGCCGCTCGCCTCGAGGGGCCCTCGGTGCGGGCCCACGGGGGGGATCCCCCCCGGCGCTGGGCTTTTGCGCGCTCGGATGTTGGCCCCACCGATGGTGGCATTCGTGCGCGCGCGCGCCTTCTGGCCTGGAGCCCGAAGCGGGGCCCTTGGGAGCGCCAAGAGTTCGCGCGTGAGCGGAGCGGCGGGCGCCGCCGCACGGCTCCGCCGCCCAGCGACTGCCTCGGCGGAGGACAAGTCCACACGGAGTGAGTTCATACGGAGTGTTCGGCCTCCGTGTGGGCTTACTCCGTCTGGGCAAAGCCTCTCCTCATAGGAGGCTAAGTGAGTCCATACGGAGTGCTCGGTCTCCGCATGGATTCACTCCGACTGGACCTAGCCTCTCCTGGCTGCCTTCTTCAGGAGGCGGAGGATCGAGGATCTCCCTGCCGAGGATGGAGGACCCTGCCGAGGGGATCGAGGAGGAGCGATGAGGGCCGAAGATTGAGGAGAAGGAAGAGGCTTTGGGAACCTCGCGACGCCGCCGGGCGGGTACGGAGGCAACGTCAGGAGAGGAGTGGCCCAGGGGGGGGGAAGCATCGACCACCAGTCGCCCACTCATCGCCGATGGGGGCCCCACCCAGGAACGTGCGGTTCCGCTATCGAGTGCCCATCGCCGATCCATCGGCGACGTCTCGCCGACTCCAGGTCATCCTTTCCCCGCTAACCTCCCCCACGTCGCTCCCCATCAGAGGACGAGGGACGCGGACGACGACGACGACGACGACGACGACGACGACGACGACGACGACGACGACGTGGGCCGCCGACGACGAGGACGACGACGACGAGGACGACGGCGACGACGACGACGACAACGGCGGCGACAACGACAACGACGGCGGTGGCGGCGGCGACGGCGGCGACGACGACGACGATGACGACCACGACGGGTCTGCTTGTGCCGCCTTCCGCGGCGCGCCATCCCGGCGCATCAGGGCCGCACGCCCCTGCACTACGCCGCGCGCGCCGGCCGCACCTGGGCCGCGCGCTCGGGCCAGCGGCAGGATGATCGCAGGGTGATCGCGGCGGGTCGCATGCGGGCGGCGACGGCGGCGACGGACGACGACGACAACGACGAAGACGACGACGACGATGATGACGGCGACGACGTGCGAGGGCAACGACGGACGGCGGCGGCCAACGACGGACGACGTGCGAAGAGCGGCGACTACGACAGGCGGCAACGACGGACGCCGGCCGTCGCGCGGCAGGGGCCCGCTATCGTCGCCCACGGGCGGAACACGTCTGCCCCGGCCCAGCCTCCGCGACGGTCGCCCGCGGCCTTGGCGGACCGCTCACAGCTTGGGGGAGCCTTGGCCCCTGCCCCCAGGTGGGGCACGTCGCTCTCCTCCTCCCGCCCCCCCACCGTCCCATCTACACCCTCCCTCCTACTCCGCATTTCTCATCCCCCTCGCTGTCGTCCTCTCGTCGTCCTCCTCCTCCTCCTCCCCCTCCTCCTCCTCCTCCTGCTCCTCCTCCTCCTCCTCCTCCTGGTCCTGCTCCTCCTGCTCCTTTTCCTCCTCCTGCTCCTGCTCCTGCCCCTCCTCCTCCTCCTCCTCCTCCTCCTCCTCCTCCTCCTCCTCCGCCTCATCCTCTTCTTCCTCCTCCTCCTTCTCCTCGTCGGGAGGGAAAACGGTATCAATGACGCGCCGCCGCTGGGAGCCAGCCAGTGTGCTGCTCCTGCGTTTCGTGTGCCGATGGCCTGGTAGGTCTTCAACTTCCATAGTAACACACGGGTTACCAACGGCGGCGCGCCGTTGATGCTGCTAGTATTCCCCCAAAGATCGTCAATGTGGTCGGCTACCACTGGGAGGCGTCGAGAGCACAGCTCTCCCGCCAGTGCTGTGGGTCCGTCGGGATCGCGGCGGGCGGCAGCGGCCGCGGCCGTCTGCCGCGCCCGCCAGTTGTCGTCGGTCGTCCGCTGGCCGCCGCCGCCGCCGCCGCCGTCGTGACTCGTCGGCTGCTCGCCGTCGCTCGCCGCCGTGAGTCGGCGCCAGTGTCGTGATCGCAGCCGTCGCCGTCCCGTTCCTGCTCCCGCTCCCGCTCCTGCTGCTCCTCCCCCCCTCTTCCTCCTCCTCCCCCATGCCCCCTCATCCTTTCCTCGGCGCGCCCCCCCGCAAATGCGCGAGTTAGCCCCTGGACGGGCCCCCCTGAGCCACGAGGCCCCGTCTCCTCCTCCTCCTCCTCCTCCTCCTTCTCCTCTTCCTCCTCCTCCTCCTCCTCCTCCTTCTCTTGATGAACGGCATGCGCATTGGACTACCGTGATGGAGAGAGCGGTGCTGCTGCATGAGAAAGTGGACTCAGACAACTGGTACATGTATTCTGGTCGTGCTGGTGGCCCTTCGTGTTGCTGGAAGCTTGTGCGCTCTACACTTGGACGCGCTCACATGCGGAATGAGCAGGCCGAGTGGTGGGGACAGACGAGCACGCTGGTCATTCGTTACGCTTCGCTCAGGAACAATGTGTCTGACCCCCACCAAGCCGCCCAGTGCGCTGAGCACGCGCGCAAGATGATCGAGCAGCTCGACGGTGTGGACGACGCGACCTAGTTCGGCAAGAAGCAAGATTTGTCGTTTCGTGTGCCGATGGCCTGGTAGGTCTTCAACTTCCATAGTAACACACGGGTTACCAACGGCGGCGCGCCGTTGATGCTGCTAGTGTTCCCCCAAAGATCGTCAATGTGGTCGGCTACCACTGGGAGGCGTCGAGAGCACAGCTCTCCCGCCAGTGCTGTGGGTCCGTCGGGATCGCGGCGGGCGGCAGCGGCCGCGGCCGTCTGCCGCGCCCGCCAGTTGTCGTCGGTCGTCCGCTGGCCGCCGCCGCCGCCGCCGCCGTCGTGACTCGTCGGCTGCTCGCCGTCGCTCGCCGCCGTGAGTCGGCGCCAGTGTCGTGATCGCAGCCGTCGCCGTCCCGTTCCTGCTCCCGCTCCCGCTCCTGCTGCTCCTCCCCCCCTCTTCCTCCTCCTCCCCCATGCCCCCTCATCCTTTCCTCGGCGCGCCCCCCCGCAAATGCGCGAGTTAGCCCCTGGACGGGCCCCCCTGAGCCACGAGGCCCCGTCTCCTCCTCCTCCTCCTCCTCCTCCTCCTCCTCCTTCTCCTCTTCCTCCTCCTCCTCCTCCTCCTCCTCCTCCTCCTTCTCTTGATGAACGGCATGCGCATTGGACTACCGTGATGGAGAGAGCGGTGCTGCTGCATGAGAAAGTGGACTCAGACAACTGGTACATGTATTCTGGTCGTGCTGGTGGCCCTTCGTGTTGCTGGAAGCTTGTGCGCTCTACACTTGGACGCGCTCACATGCGGAATGAGCAGGCCGAGTGGTGGGGACAGACGAGCACGCTGGTCATTCGTTACGCTTCGCTCAGGAACAATGTGTCTGACCCCCACCAAGCCGCCCAGTGCGCTGAGCACGCGCCCAAGATGATCGAGCAGCTCGACGGTGTGGACGACGCGACCTAGTTCGGCAAGAAGCAAGATTTTTCGTTTCGTGTGCCGATGGCCTGGTAGGTCTTCAACTTCCATAGTAACACACGGGTTACCAACGGCGGCGCGCCGTTGATGCTGCTAGTGTTCCCCCAAAGATCGTCAATGTGGTCGGCTACCACTGGGAGGCGTCGAGAGCACAGCTCTCCCGCCAGTGCTGTGGGTCCGTCGGGATCGCGGCGGGCGGCAGCGGCCGCGGCCGTCTGCCGCGCCCGCCAGTTGTCGTCGGTCGTCCGCTGGCCGCCGCCGCCGCCGCCGCCGTCGTGACTCGTCGGCTGCTCGCCGTCGCTCGCCGCCGTGAGTCGGCGCCAGTGTCGTGATCGCAGCCGTCGCCGTCCCGTTCCTGCTCCCGCTCCCGCTCCTGCTGCTCCTCCCCCCCTCTTCCTCCTCCTCCCCCATGCCCCCTCATCCTTTCCTCGGCGCGCCCCCCCGCAAATGCGCGAGTTAGCCCCTGGACGGGCCCCCCTGAGCCACGAGGCCCCGTCTCTCCTCCTCCTCCTCCTCCTCCTTCTCCTCTTCCTCCTCCTCCTCCTCCTCCTCCTCCTCCTCCTTCTCTTGATGAACGGCATGCGCATTGGACTACCGTGATGGAGAGAGCGGTGCTGCTGCATGAGAAACTGGACTCAGACAAATGGTACACGTATTCTGGTCGTGCTGGTGGCCCTTCGTGTTGTTGGAAGCTTGTGCGCTCTACACTTGGACGCGTTCACATGCGGAATGAGCAGGCCGAGTGGTGGGGACAGACGAGCACGCTGGTCATTCGTTACGCTTCGCTCAGGAACAATGTGTCTGACCCCCACCAAGCCGCCCAGTGCGCTGAGCACGCGCGCAAGATGATCGAGCAGCTCGACGGTGTGGACGACGCGACCTATTTCGGCAAGAAGCAAGATCCCCCAGAGATTTTCGCCTGGAAGGGTATGGTCGCGAACCTGGACCTGGTACCTTTTCAGTCTTTACCAGAGTTACAGGAGAGAACTCGCAGGTGGGCCGACCTCTCAAATGCTCGGGCCATGATGGCCTCCAGGTCCCAGATCATGAAAAAAGGTTCAGGAGATGTGGGCCACCAAACCAGGGGCAGTTCACAGGCACGTCAAGCTTGCTGCGGCCCCTGTTTGGGAAAGTAAGGACCCCTTCGGCACCGTCACTTCTGACAGCCAAGAGAGGTTGCATGGTCTGGCAACGGAGTGGATGACTATGTGGACCGACCCAGTGGACCAGCCGCAGCACATTCTGGATATGATGCAGAGGTGATTGGATGCTGCGCGTGCTGGCCCGCTTCCTGCCATTACCTTGTTGGATCTGGATTCTGTTCTGCCCAGGTTACCTGCGAAGAAGGCGAAAGGAGTTGACGCGATGAGCCCGTTAGACATCCAGCGACAACCAGCACGTGCCCGCCTACTCTTCGTGGACACCCTGAACGCTGTCGAGGCGGCGGGCGCCTGGCCTTCGGCGATCAGCACCGTGCTAGGGGCTGCCATCCCGAAGGAGGCTGGAGGCTGTCGCGTGCTGGGACTGGTCCGGTGGCCCACAAGGTTTGGTCCAATATTCGCTCTCAGACGGTTTGCGAATGGTCGGCCTCGCTCTCTGCCTTCTGGGATACTGCGATAGCGGGATCTTCAGCCTTGAGGGCGGCGCTGATACGTGCTGTGTTGGACGAAGGCGCCCATGAGCTATCCTTCGAGCATGCTGCGTTGTTTTTGGTTTTGACCAAGTATTACGATTCTGTGAGCTTCGTTTTGCTGGTGGGGGCTGGCTTGGATATTGGATTTCCACCGATTATTTTGTTGCTTGGGATATGCGTGCACTCTGCCCCTCGGCTTCTGAAGAAAGGCCAGATGATCTCTGACACGATCGAGGTGGCCAGGTCGATAGTTGCAGGGTCAGGGCTAGGGGTCCCGCTGGCCAAGGTCATGTTGCACAGACTGCTGGAGACAGTACACCGTGCGGTTCCCCTTGCTGGCCTGTGGAGCTACATCGATGACGTAGTCGGCTGTGCCGAGGGCTCCAAGCAGAAGGTGATTGCTGACCTGGAGGCGACGGCAGATGTTATGGCTACTGGCTTGGGTGAGCTACGTTTACAGATTTCTTCGAAGACCAAGTTGGTGGCCAGCAGTGATGACATTGGTAGTGATACGCAGGAGCGGTTGAGGAAGAACGGCATTCCAGTTGAGTACGCGAGCGCCACAGTTGACCTCGGCCCGGATGCTGCCGCTGCTCGTAGAAGGGCCATTCCTCGCATGAGTAAGAGGCGGGCTCATGCTCGACGCGGACACCGTAAGGTCATGAAAGTACGACGCCTTGGCCGCGTTCGCTTTGTGATTAAAAAGTTGTGGAACACTGGAGTTTACCCGTCCGCAGTCTTTGGCCATCGGACTATGGGCACCCCATCCATCTGCTCTTTTGGCTATGCGACGAGATGCGGCTGCTGCCGTGGCGGGCCCAAAGAAGGGCAGGTGCCTCAACTCAGTGCTACGGGCTGTGTATGGTACGGCTGACCCTGGAATCGATTTGAGAAGGCGGCTGCTGCGCGGATGGGCATCCTTGTGGCTGACCCAGCCGCGCCTGTACCCTAGGATCAAGAAAGCGTGGCCTGTGGCGCTGGCGAAGCTCAAGCAAGGGAGAGCCATCAATTGGAGAGATGTACGCGGACCGATTGCTGCACTGCAGGCGACCCTGCTTCAGGCTGGCTGGGGCCCACAGTCCCCCCTGGTCTGGTCTCGCCCTCTACCTGATGGCGCGATTGATGATTGGATATTCCCGAGTTTCGGCGACGAGCAATTCGGCACTGAAGTATTGGCGCACTTTGACGACATGCTGGGCGCCTTCATGGATGATTGTCTGTTGCAGCAGTGGCAGGCCGCCTCGCAGCACGAGGCAGGAGAGGACTTAGTGAACGGCGCTGACATGACCACGGTGACCATCGAGCAGAATCGTTTCGCCAAGAAGCTCCAGTTCGAAGAGTGGTCCGCGGGCATTTCCGTCATCAGGGGCGGCCAGTGGACTCGTGAGACGCAGATTGCCGCAGGTTATGCCTGTCCGCCGCTTTGCCCCCGCTGTTATGAAAGGCCAGAGACTCTGGCGCATCGGATTTGGGCATGCCCCGGGAATTGCGGGCATGGCGATTTTGTCAAAACGGATTCCTTAGTGCCCCAGGCTCTTGCGGGCCTTGACGCTCTGCCAGCGCTGCGGCTCCGTGGAGCCCCCCCGAAGGACATTGTGGTGCCCAAGTTCGTTGAGACCCTTGAGGTTGCCCAAAAGGTCCTTCTTGGGGTGGACTGCGTTTTGGACCGTGGTGTTGCTCCTGCCCCCCCCCCCCCCCCCCCCTGCACATCTTTGGAGACGGCTCTGGAGGCGAGAACAGTTCGGATCCCAGGCGGCGTCGATGCGGCTCGGCCATTGTAGTCATGTGCCAGGATCCCTCTTCGCCGTTCTGGAGCCCCGTTTGTGGAGTTGCCCAGGTGCTTGTGGGTAGGAAACAGACAGTGCCACGTGCAGAGCTTCGGGCGTTCTGTCTAGCTCTCGAGTGCTCGGTCGGTCCGATTTGCTACGTGACCGACTGCAAGAGCTTGGTTTCTGATTGGCATGTTGGACGTGCCAAGTTTCCTCGGGGCCAAACCGGCGACCTCTGGGTTCGTGCTGGGCGGGGCCTCGAGGCCCGTGGCCCTGGGGATGTTTCTCTGCTCTGGACCCCTTCGCACAGGGAGGAAGATCTACAGACGGTCAAGACTGAATTCGAACTGTCCTTGGGTCTTGGCAACGCCGCCGCCGATACCTGGGCTGGATTCGCTGCCGCCTGGAGTTGGGACTGGTGCGTGACGACCCCTGCCCCCCAGACGGACCTCTGGGAAACGACGGCGGCGTTAGTCAGGCCTCGGGCCCGTCGGGCCTTGATGATGGCGCTTGAGGTTGATTCCTGGGTCGGCGCGCGGCCACGGTGTGTCAAGAAACCTCCGCGCAAGAGTATATTCTGTCTTGCTGTAGAGGCCAGCCAGCATAAGTTTGCCCCCTTTGCTGGCCGTTGGAGATGCCGACTCTGCCACCTCACCCCCCCTCGGTGTAGAGTGCCGAAGGCCGCCTCGACCCCGCGCGCCCCTCTCCCTGTCGCCAGTGGGCTGGGCGCGGCCGATAAACGTGTCCCCCCCTGAGTATGGAGAGGGCTTCGAGGTTGTTCAGGGTGGGATTTCTGTGGGCGGGGTCGCACTCCATCCGTCGCACTCGCTGGCAAAGATGAAGGCGTTCAATTTAGTTGTTTGCATGCGCTGCGGCTTCGCTGCTACCTCTGACGGCAGGAGGCTTCAGTCTGACCGTGCCCCCCCGACCAAGAAAGGGGGGGGGAATTTGGTGCGAATTCGCCGCGGCTTGTTTCCGTCGCACCGAGGCCCGCCCAAGAGTGTGCGCGCCGCCCAGGCGTGTGACGCGGCGAGCAGAGCTGGCCCCGTGCTCTCGGAGGAAGGAGCTGCGAGAGCTTGCGAGTCGGTGAGGCCAACGGCGACTCTGCTCAGTGCTCCCGAGTGCGAGGATCTGCGCACGTCGGCCGACCGCCATCCGAGCGCGATGGCCGACGCCATGACCTTGCAGGACCTGCTGCCGCCGCCGCCTGCTGTCCCCTCTGCTGCTGCGACCGCTGCCCTGAGAGAGACGGTCGAGCGCCTCCGAGCGGAGGCTAGCTCGAGTGCAGGCGGACCGCCCAGTGTTCGAGCGGAGGAGCGCAGCAGTGAGGAGGTGCAGCAGCAGCAGCAGCAGCAGCAGCAGGCTGATTGTGCGGTGCTGGTGGACAGCGGTGACAGTGACTGAGGGATTTTGGCCACGTGTGTGGCAGGGCTGCAGAATCCAGCAGAATCCTTCTCCTCCTCCTCCTCCTCCTCCTCCTCCTCCTCCTCCTCCTCCTCCTCCTCCTCCTCCTCCTCGCCCCTCCACCACCCCTCTCCTGCCTGCCGCGGTGTCGGTTCTGCCCCACCTCTGTGCGCAGCAAATCCGAGGAGGTTCTTCAGACATTGACCTCTCCTCACGCTCGTCTCCCCCCTCCCTCTCGTGGGGCCGGGCTCTCGACGTGCGGCCGCCGCGCCTCTGGCCGCCGTGCGCCGTCTCCGGCGCACGGCCGCCATTTTCTGGGGGCGCGGCTGGAGCTTTCCGGCGGTGTCGTGGCGCAGGGCCCGGCCGGCGGCCCCCGCCGCAGTGGCGCGCCGCTGGCGGGATCGTCGACGTCTGCGCCTTCGTCTCGGAGGCGCAGCTGCAGTGGTACGACCGAGCCAGAACGAAGCACGTGCCGTGGTCCAAATGTCTGGGTGGAGCACGCTGCGTGCTGGCTCAACACGTGTGTGCCCACAGCGTGGCGGATGTAACACGCCAGATTCGTGTGCCCCATCTACGTGCTGAGCTCCGTGTCCAGACGTTCCGGGCTGCGGATTGCGTGTCAGGGCAGCGTGTTTCTGAAGGGTATCGTAGCAGCCACAGCTGGGTGCTGCTCGAAAAGATGACCAGGATGGACCTTCAGGAATGAGTCCAGGGATGTTTTTTGAGCTGATGTCGGTCGAGGTCCAGGGTCGACTCTCGACCGCCGATCATCCTCCTCCTCCGCCTCCTCCTCCTCAGCATCATCAACAACAACGACGACGCCATCAGCATCATTATCATCAGCATCATCAGCATCATCAACAACAGTAGCATAATCATAGTCATGATCACCACATAATCATAGTCATGATCACCATCATCATCAACAGCAGCACCATCAGCATCACCACCATGATCATCACCATCATCATCAACAACATCAGCAGCACAAACATCATCAGCATCAGCACCAGCAACATACGCATCGGCAGCATTTTCATCAGCATCATCACCATTAGCAGCTAGCATCATCATCACCAGTAGCATCATCATCAGCAGCAGCATCATCAGCAACATCGGCAGCAGCAGCATCAGCGTCAGCATCAGCGTCATTAGCATTAGCAGCAGCATTCTCAGCAGCATCATCATCAGCATCATCACCAGCTTCTGCATCATCATTATCAGCATCATCGGCATCAGCATCATCATCATCACCATCATCGTCAGTATCATTATTATCAGCATCATCATCACCAGAGCATCATCATCATCATCATCATCAGCATCATCATCATCTGTATCATCAGCATCATCATCCTCTCCCTCCTCCTTCTCTTTCTCCTCCTCCTCTTCCTCATCCTACTCCTCGTATTCCTCTTCCTCCTCCTCATCCTCCTCATCCTCCTGCTCATCAGCATCATGCCCGTCGCCCTCACCCGAGCGGCGCGAGCGGGCGGCGCCGATCGGACCCGAGGCCGCCCGCGAGTTGCTGCGGCTGGGCGCCAAGGCCTTGGGCCGAAGCGCGGCCACCGCTGCATCGGGAGGAGGGAGGAGAAGGAGGAGGAGGAAGAGCGGAAGAGGGGGAGGATGAGAATGAGGATGATGATGATCATGATGATGATCATGATCATGATCATGAACATGATGAGCATGATGATGATGATGATGATGCTGCTGCTGCTGCTGCTGATGATGATGATGATGATGATGATGATGATGATGATGATGATGATGACGAGGAGGAGGAGGAGGAGTAGAAGAAGGAGGAGGAGAGGAGGAAGGAGGAGGAGGAGGAGGAAGAGAGGAAGAGGGGGAGGATGAGAATGAGGATGACGATGAGGATGAGGATGAGGATGATGACGAGGATGATGATGATGATGCTGATGATGATGATGCTGATGCTAATGATGATGATGATGATGATGATGATGATGATGATGATGATGATGATGACGATGATGATGATGATGATGACGAGGAGGGGGGGAAGGAGGACGAGAGGGAGGAGGGAGGAGGGAGGAGGGAGGAGGAGAAGGAGAGGATGAGGATGATATTGATAATGATGAATATGATGATGCATATGATGATGATGATGATGATGATGATGATGATGATGATGATGATGATGATGATGATGATGATGATGATGATGATGATGATGATGATGATGCGATGATTATGATGATGACGATGATGGTGGTGATGATGAGGATGATGATGATGATGCTGGTGGTGGTGGCGATGCTGCTCATGATGATGATGGTGGTGGTGGTTGCGGTGGTAGTAGTGATGATGATGCTGATGATGCTGATGATGATGACGACGACGAGGAGGAGGAGGGGCATGGGGAGGAGGAGAGGGAGGAGGGAGGAGAAAGGAAGGAAGACGGAGGATAGGACGAGAGGAAGAGGGGGAGGATAAGAATGAGGATGATGATGATAATGATGAGGATGATGCTGATGATGATAATGATGATGAAGATGATGATGGTGATGATGATGATGCTGATGCTGATGATGACGATGCTGATGATGCTGATGGAGGAGTAGGAGGAGGGCGGGAGAAGGAGGAGGAGAGGGAGGAGGGACAAGGGAGGAGGGAGGAAGGAGGAGAGATGGGGGAGGAGGAGGAGGAGGAGGACGAGATGAAGGAGGAGGAGGAAGCGGGGAAGATGGGTGAGGATGAGAATCATGATGATTACGCTGACGAGGATGATGATGATGATGATGATGATGATGATGATGATGATGATGATGATGGTGATGGTGATGGTGATGGTGATGGTGATGGTGATGGTGCTGGTGATGGTGCTGGTGATGGTGATGGTGATGTTGATGACGATCATGATGATGATGATGATGATGATGATGATGATGATGATGATGATGGTGATGGTGATGGTGATGGTGTTGATGATGATGCTGATGATGATGATGATGATGATGATGATGATGATGATGATGATGATGATGATGATCATGATGATCATGACGATGCTGCTGATGTTGATGACGACGACGAGGGGGAGGAGGAGAAGGAGGAGGAGGAGGAGGAGGAGAGGAGGAAGAGAGGATGAAAGGAAGCGAGGAAGAGGGGCAGAGAGGAAGAGGGGGAGGATAAGAATGAGGAATCTGATGCTGGCGATGACGAGGAGGAGGATGAGGTGGAGGAGGAGGAGGAGGAGGAGGAGGAAAGGGGGGAGGAGGAGGAGGAGGAGGAGGAGAAGGAGGAGGACCGGGAGGAGGGGAGTAGGTAGGAGGGGAGAAGGGAGGAGGGAGGAGGCGAGGGGAGGAGGAGGAGGAGGGGGGGGAGGAGGAGGGGGAGAAGGAGCATGAGAATGCGGAGGATGACGAGGGTGAGGATGATGAGGATGCTGATGCTGATGATGCTGATGACGATGACGATGACGATGACGATGACGATGATGATGATGATGATGATGATGATGATGATGATGATGATGATGATGCTGATGATACTGATGATGATGCTGATGATGATGATTCTGATGATGATGGTGGTGGTGGAAGTGGTGATGGTGATCGTGATGCTGATGCTGATGCGAACTGCAATAATGATACTAATGATAATAACGATGATGAAGACGTTGGTGACAATGATGATGATGATAATGATGATGATGCTCGTGGTGATGATGATGATAATGATGATGATGATGATGATGATGATGATGATGATGATGATGATGCTGATGCTGATGATGATGATGCTGATGCTGATGCTGATGCTGATGATGATGATGATGATGATGATGATGATGATGATGATGATGATGACGGTGGTGGTGGTGGTGATGATGTTGACGACGACGACGACGACGAGTAGGAGGAGGAAAAGGAGGCGGAGCACAAGGAGGAGGAAGAGGAGGCGGAGCACAAGGAGGAGGAGGAGGACAGGGGGGATGGAGGAGGCAGGAGGCAGGAGGGAGGAGGAGGAAGACATGGGGGGGCGAGAATGAGAATGAGGATGATGAAGAAGATGATGATGGTGATGATGTTGATCATGATCATGATCATGATGATCATGACCATGACCATGATGATAATGATGATGCTGATGCTGATGCTGATGCTGATGATGATGATGATGATGATGATGACGACGACGGCGAGGCGGAGGAGGATGGGGAGGAAGAGGAGGAGGAGGAGAAGGAGGAATATGAGGAGGAGGGCGAAACGGGAGGAGGGAGGAGGAGGAAGAGAGGAAGAGAGGGAGGTTGAGAATGGCGATGGTGTTGATGATGATAAAGATGACGAAGGTGATGGAGATGATGATGATGATGATGATGATGATGATGATGATGATGATGTTGATGTTGATGGTTATGGTGATGACGATGATGGTGATCTTGATTAATGATGATGGTTGGTAAGATGATGATGGTGATGACGATGGTGATGATGACGATGATGATGATGATGGTGATCATGATGATGTTGATGATGATGACGATGATGATGCTGTTGGTGGTGATGATGATGACGACGACGAGGAGGAGGAGGAGGAGGAGAAGGGGGAGGAGGAGAGGGAGGAGGGAGGAGGGAGGAGGGAGGAGAGAGGAGGGAGGAGGGAGGAGGGGGAGGAGGAAGAGAGGGAGAGGGGGGGATGATATTGGTGATGATGATGATGTTAATGATCATGACGCTGATGATGACGACGATGATGATGATGATGCTGATGATGATGGTGATGATTGTGGTGATGATGATGATGATGATGATGATGATGATGATGATGATGATGATGATGCTGATGATGATGTTGATGATGATAATGATGATGACGATGATGATGATATGATGATGATGATGATGATGATGATGACGAGGAGAAGGAGGAGGAGGTGGAGGAGGAGGAGGTGGAGGAGGAGGAGGAGAGGAGAGGAGAGGGAGGAGGAAGGGAGAGAGAAGGAGGAGGAGGAGGAGGAGGAGGAGGAGGAGGAGGAGGAGGAGGAGGAGAGAGGAGGAGGAGGAGGAGGAGGAGGAGGAGGAGGAAGAGACGAAGAGGGGGAGGATGAGTATCAGGATGATGACGCTGATGCTGATGCTGATGCGATGATGTGATGATGATGATGATGATGATGCTGATGCTGATGATGATGATGATGATGATGATGATGATGATGATGATGATGCTGATGCTGATGATGATGATGATGATGGATGATGATGATGATGATGATGATGATGATGATGATGATGCTGATGCTGATGATGATGATGGTGGTGGTGGTGGTGTGGTGGTGGCGGTGATGGTGATGGTGATGATGGTGATGATGGGTGATGATGGTGATGATACGAGGAGAGGAGGAGGAGGCGGAGAAGGAGGAGGAGGAAGAAGAGGAGGAGGAGGAGAGGAGGAGGTGGAGGAGGAGGAGGAGGAGGAGAGGAGGAGGAGGAGGAGAGAGGGGGGGAGGACGAACAGGTTGAGGAGAGGAAAGGATGAAGAGAGTCGAACGAGAGGAAGAGGAGGAGGAGGAGGAGGAGAGGAGGAGGAGGAGGAGGAGGAGGAGGAGGAGGAGAAGGTGGAGGAGGAGGAGGAGAGGAGGGAGGAGGAAGAGGAGGAGGAGGAGGAAGAGGAGGAGGAGACAGAGATGAGGAACAGCAGCACCTGGTGCAGGAGCGTGAATAGGAGCAGAAGCAGGAAACCGAGGAACGGCCAGGAAGAAAGGACGAGCTGGGGACGAGCTGGAGGAACAGGAGTAGAAGGGACTCCGCTCCTCGGACGGACGGAGGAGGAGGGGGGTAGTGTTTCGGCTCATATGATGACAGTGCTCTCAGGTAGCAGGCACCAGGAAGAGGAGGAGGAGGAGGAGGAGGAGGAGGAGAAAGAAGAGGAGGAGGAAGTGGCAGGCCGCAGGAAGAGGAGAAGGAGAAGGAAGAGAGCGCCGAGTTTCGAGGGTTTCGAGGGTCGAGGTTTGGGGAACCTTTCTGGATCTTTTCTGTTGGGAGAGGAGATGCCCCCTGGAGGCTTCCACGGACCTCCTGGAGAGCCCCTGGAGACGTCTCGTCTATAAAGGACATCCGGATACCTTAGGAGCAGGAGGGGCAGCAGAAATTGGTCCAGGCCGAGGATTATGAGGATGATAAGGAGAGGAGTAGTAGGAGGAGAAGGACCGCCTCAATTCGAGAGGAGGAGGAGGGAGGAGGAGGAGGAGGAGGAGGAGGCGGAGGAGCAGGAGGAGGAGGAGGGCGCCGAGGATTGAATATCGAGTTGTCTGATACTGGTGGGCTTCTTTCAGGCTTCTGGCAAGGAGGTTGCGGGGCAGAGGGGGCAGGAACAGGAGGAGAAGCACGACTACCGGGAAGAGGTGGAGCAGGAGGAGCAAAAAGTGGAGTGCCACGGTTGGGAGGAAGCGGAATGCAGGGAGGGGTGAAGGAAAAGTATGGAGGAGGATGAGGACGAAGAGGAGGAGAAGAAGAAAGAGGAGGAGGAGAAAGACGAGGACAAGGACAAGAATTTGAAGTTGACGGAGCACGGCGACGA